ATATGCTGATGACCAAGGTTTTCATCCGATACAAAATTCGATGCACGCACGGAAGACCCGCCAATACGGTACCATGGCCTTCACTCCTTGAATCCATAGCCCTTCTTGCCGTCGTGTTGTTCACCGAAGTGGAGCTTCCAGTAGCTCCCGATCATACCTCCATATGATCTAGTCCCTCACGGGTCTAGGTCGTGTGTATCGCATTGCCACGAACTGTTCCACCATGATCCGCTGCACCATGTCGCCTGGTGACATCTCCATTGCATTCTGATCCTTGTGGAATAAACTCGAACTGTGAACCCTTCATGTGTGGCCTCTGCCAATACATCGCAGGGTCTCATCCACCTTCGATTTTGTTCGCTCCTTTGGCAATCGACCTTCATCCACCCACTCTTGGGTCACACCTAGATGAAGCACCGCTCTAGGACAGTCCGTCGCCTAGTAGCTCCCGAAGTCCACCGACTTTGCTGTAATTTGTGCACCATTGTCTGGATCCTGGGCCTCTGCCCCTACCAGCACAATCTCCGCTGCACACCGCTTCCTTCAAGCAACCTGACTGGCAACACTGTGGCATATTCTTCAAGAGTACCCGCCTCTGCGTCCTCTTGCCCCGTGCTAAGGCCTTCTGAACCCAACTTCGCCTCCGCAAATTGAGTCGCCTTAGTTCCTCCATCAAATGCTCCTCCGAGGTAAGGTGCATGTGCCCAGAAGCTCCCTTCGTCTTTGGCACCATGCAAGATGAGTCCACTCCATCAGAATTAAGGACCCATGGAACAACATGATCCAGCTCTTGCCTCTGCAAGAGTTCATGTCCTTGACCTCTGTCTAAGGAAAGCACTGTGCCTCTGCTCCATGTTCCAACTTCTCTGCTGGCTCCCTTCATGCGGCTTGGGTACTTCGCCAAGTTAAACCCAAGTTGCTCCGCTCCTCGCTTCTGCATTGAGTCGATGGTGGCCCTCGCGCCCACCATTCCACGGGTCAGCCCTCCCTTGAGTCCGATCTCCAAATCGACTCCAAGTGTGCCTTCGTTTGAGTTGCTTCAGGTCGCTCCCCCACTTGATCTCGCAATGCATCCACCAATGCATTCTCTCAAGCGAGATCATACGACAACTCCTCGCTGTTTACTCGGTCCATTGAGCTTCGTGGAGTTGTTGTTTGTTGAGGTACTCCTCCTCAACATGTGAAGTCCGTCTCACATGATTCTCCCTCTGGAGAGCCGAGACTTATCCCTCCTGGATAACTGTCCCGTTGAAGCAACATCTCTCTTCGTTTTGGAGACCACCATCCCCTTGGACTACTCCGATCTGCTGAACAAACTGTGCACTGTTCTGCCTCCTGCAAACGCACTTGCTAGATTGCGACTCCACGTCAATACAGCCCCCGCTGCACCACTCAAGGCCTAGCAACATGCTGAACTCGCTGCACCCTTCAGCCTCCTACGGACGTATCCTTCGCATGCCGAAGAGAAAGTTTTAATGCTCCATGGCGCCGAGTCTCGGCCGCCTTGGGATGGCCACGAACATTCCATCGTCCGCATACAAGCCTATGCATGAGTACCGAATTCTTCGAGTTAGCAATTCCCCTCGCCTCTGTGAGCTTTGCACAACTCTTTCGGTTGCTGAGCAACTCCTTCCACTTTGCATGGTCTCATCCTTTGCCAAGCGCCTCGCTTGCCTTGAGCACCATCAAGTATAGTTGTCAACGTTGAGCCGTAGCTCAAACTCAGCCATCCCAACCTTTGTGCGCTTCACATTCTTCCAAGCTTGCCTGTTCTCGTGGTGCCTCTTGCGCGAAGGGTTGGCCATTCCTCTGAATGCCAATCTCAGATGCCCGCTCCTCTGAGCGACTCTTTTCCCTACATCTCCATGTCCGTTTTCCCACAAACGGTCGCGCGTGTGCTGACTGCCCTCAATGCAGCCCCACTAGGTCCCCCACGTTTGCATGCTAAGTGTTTTTATGAGTGCTTGTCCCGCTCTAATACCATCTGTCATGGACTTAGCTGGTTTTGCTTAAGTCGTGCGGCACCCTCGCGCGTCCGTCCGCAAAGGTCAGCCTCCCATTGTCCCTTAGGACCAACAAAAGAGAGAACGGGTTAAAGAGAATGCCTCAATCGGGATCCACAAGCAAACATGTCCGAAAAACACTTCATAGACAATGCAAATTACAAACAGACTTTACAAGCTCTGAACAGTTGCACAACAAAGGGTAAAATGGTCCACTACAGACCGAAAAGCTCTCGAACGTGTCCACATGACACAACCTTTATTTATAAGCCTAAAGAGGCCACCAACCCGACTAACATGGGACTATTAAGCCTTCGGCCGCCCCTCTACCTGCTGTACGAGGCATGAACATGCCAAACGACACGGACATGTATAAGCATTACATCGAACACCTTGTTTAGAAGTTTGTCCGTGACAGGACGCTACTAGTTTTGTTTTTATAAACCTCACAGTTTCATCCATTGACAAGCTCTACTGTTTATACAGGTTTAGGAACCATAGTACAAAAGTTTAAAGTTTCCTCTTTAGACTTCCTCCTTTGAAATCTAGGAAACTTATATGTCTTTTAAAAACCCAAAATGTCTCTTAGTAGACTTCAACAGCTTTAAAAACTCATCACAGCTGAGAAGGAAAGGGTGCACTTAATATAGAAGTAGAGTCCCAGTGTTAACACCTAGCAAAAAATAAGACTCTTCATTTTCGCACACAACTCTTAAAGTTTCTAGGCAAGCTAATTGATAACATTTTGCTGATTTCTTTGCCTAGAATAAATACCACTAAAATCCTTTGTAAACCTAGATAATTCTCATGGTTCAGCTAATTTGAAAAGCACCTTAATCAGCCCATCTATGGTTGTTATAACACCAAGCATTTAACAACTTTGTTAAATTACAAGTTTTTCAATCATTTACTGCAAAATGAAAGTAGGTGCATAATGTTAAATAAAGGGATGCAAAGTGACAATAGAAGACATACAACTAAATCTAATTGTCTCCTCCAAATGTCAAATCAACATAGGGAAAGATGATAATACCAACCTCAATTCAAGGTATATCCTGAGATAAAAAAAATGTGCTACTGGTCTCTTAGTCTTAGTATTCCAAATTATGTTAGTTTAACTTATCATACACAATTGGAATAGAAGTCTGCGACACAATGTTCAAACTGCAATACACAGATCATAGTAAAACCACAAAAGCTCAAACACAAATGTTGATTTATACAATCCTCATAGGATAACTTTCATTAGACATTTTCCTCAAAATGCTAATGAAATAACTGAGCTAATAGAATGTGTATAATAATGTTCTTCTGCATCCTCATGTTTCTGTAGAATTTTACTCTGATGCTTGCTTCCTCTTTATCCAGAAAAGATTAGCGTGTCCTGATATTCTAAAAATCTTGTGCATCTAGGAGCTCAGTGTCAATGCAAGCACGTTGGTTGTCACAACAGCAATACATGGTTCTGCACTTGTAATTAATGGTGCATATTGTTTTCTGAGGTACCAGTGCATAATGCTTATCATGAATGAAGTAGAGCATAAAACAATGTGCGGTGCAGAACATGTAACACACATAAAAGCAACCACAATCAACAGTTCTGCCAATAAAAATAAGCCTTTATAGAAAGTTGATACTATAACTGTTATTGAAGTAGGACCTTCATTAGGGGAAGAGCAATTAAATCTAGATGCCCATTCTATAATCATCAGCTAATTAACCACTCATGAAGCATCATCAGCATCTAATTTGTTTTGCTATCATATTATCAGTGTTCCTAATGAGGACAACAAATTGAGAAGTTTCCTTGAAAGCATTATTAAGATCACTGACAGTTGATTCTTACTGAGTATGCAAATTGAGAAGTTTCATTGAAAGCATCATTTAGATCACTGGTAGTTGATTGCAATTCACCTTTTGGAAACAGGTTGAGTTTCATGCCATGGTAATTCATGAAAGTGAGCTTTTAAAGCAAAATTAATGATAAAGTTTCTTGCAATGGTACCTAAGTGGTATGCAGGCTGAAAGATTTATTATGGTTGTTACAATTTCATCTAATGAACTAAAGGAGCAAATCACCTAAAATCATCTTCAGTTTGCAAAGACTATAAAGAAGAGCATAGAACTCATCGCTAAGCTAAGTCAAGGAAGTTTATTAGGCCCCATTTAGTTCATTACCAATCAATTTAAAATGTTAGCTTTGCTACACAAAGTGGCTTGAAAGAGAAACAGTTATTGTGTGAAGATCCAATAACCACTATTGCTTGAGATTTCCAGCTTGAGATCATGAAGCATTGACTCCACCATTGATACGTTTGAAAGGTGGAACAAAACAAAAAAGAAACAATGGAAGGTGCTTCATACAATAGAAAAAAAATACAATACTTCTAGAAAAACTTTGAGATCATGGTGCTTTAGAATGCTCAAACAATAATGTCAAGCATGTTAAGCCTCATTTCTGATTTGAAAAGGCTCTCAGGACTATCCAGAGTCAATGGTTGGCATAAAGGCCCCAAAAGCAACCTTGGAGAAAACAGCAAAGATTTAGTCATGAGTTACTGATAGGAAGGCTTAGAGCTAATTATTATGACATATAGCAGCACTAGTTTGAAAACAAGTGCCTGTTCCAAGTAAAAGTGGCTGTTAAAAGCCAGTACCACATCATGCTCGTCAAATGTCTTGAGTGTGAACAACCTTTTTCCCCACATAATTGTTTTTTTCTTCGGATCCATCACTTCACCTCTGAATATTATTGATGGCAGGTGCCATTAGCAGATTTACTCCATAACACTAAGATTCTAAGAAATAAACAGGGCAGAGAGACAGCTTTCGAAATTACACATGAAGTAGCTTTGTCATTTAGTAGTAAGCAATTGACTTGATTTTTTTTACAGTAGAAAGAAATGAAATGATTCTCTTCCAGTTCGAAACTATGACTTGTCCTATGTAAAATTCAACTACACAAATTTCTGACATAAAACATCAAGGAACAATTACCTGTGATATGGACAAAATAGATGCAGATCTGCCCAACAAAATAGGAGGCTCTTCCGAAATATAAATGGTTTGAAGAGGAGAAAAGAGACCACAAAGCTTCCGCTCTTTGTTAAAAGCTTGAAGAAATTTTATAGATGGATTATCCTTCATTTCTGAATTTATGCTCTGTTTTAAGAAAATAATGACTAATTTATCAATATTTCTACAGTAAAGCTTGCTCTTTGAATAAGAAAAATCTATAGTAAAGAAAAATTCACAAGAAACATCTACTAACCTCAAGTATTTCATCCCTCTGGGAGTAAATTGAGGCATTTAGACCTTCAACAACAGAATAAACACGACCTGCCTTAATCTGCTAAAATTATGGTATACTAGGTTATAAAATTGCCAAATCTATTTTTAGATGTAATTTAAATGAAAATATCAACTAAACAAAGAAAAATAACAGTTATATAAACATACATATGTATAAGTATATATATATCAAGAACTACTTTGTTGGTACAAATGCTCTAAGGCCTCAAAGAATATACAGATGTATGTGCAACCATTTGAGTTGCTTCAGTCGGAAAATTAGAACATTTGGATAGTCAAAATTTTGGCCAAAAACACTTGTTGGATTTGTATATCTTGCTCTTTCATATCATCATAGAACTTTCCAGTCTTACGTCAATCTTATCAAGGTGCAAACTGAAGAAACCTTGAGATTTATCACTAAACATTGACCATAGCTTCATGCAAAATTTGCCCTAGTAATGAGCAAATTCTACAACTCAAATTACTTTTAACTTGGTCATGCTTACAGTCATGGGTTAAGTTACTCTTGGTAATCTTTGTTGTCACGAACAATTCATAGGAAAGGTGATCGATGTAATGTTTATGTATGTTTGTGCTTTTCTGTTTTGTTCATGCCTTGAACAACATGTAAGGGGCTTGCAATAGGCTTGGCAGCCCCATTTTGGTTAGGTTTTGTTGTCATTTCAGGCTTGTAAACGCAGCATGTGTGTGGTCATCGCGCAGAGGCAAAACTACCCCCAAAAAAAATCTTCAGCTGGCCATATTAGGTGTTTTCCATATGCACAAAATAAATAAAAACATCAACATCTCAGCACCTTAGAGCTACTTAGAAGACACATCACTGAATGAGCTTTTGGGGTAGTATCTTGGGTTGGTTTGTCCCTTGGTTCCGTAGCGGTGTCAGATGGGTACTTGTTCGTCAAGAGTTCTGGGCACAATGGATTGTTTAGGAACTTCATTGCACAATTGTTCAGAGCTTACAAAATCCATCTTTATATTTTGCATTGTCTACCAAGTGTTTGCTAAAAATGTTTTCTTATGGGATCCCGAGTTTAGTACTTCCACTAACCCATCTTCTTTTTTGCATGTCCTTAAGGGGCCTTGCGAGGTTACGGAGAGGCTCACCCTTTGTAGATAGACATGCAAGGATGCTATATAACTTAGGCAAAATCAAGTATGTGACATATGATATCAGAGCAGGACAAACATGTTAAGAAACACTTGGCATGCAACATAAGGGGCCAAACAGGGCTATGTGGAGGGCATCTAGCATGCGTGATCATTTGAGGGAAACGAACATTTAGGCATAGTGAAAAGAGTCACTCAGAGGAGCAAACATCCGAGATTGGCATTTAAAAGAATGACCAACCCTTCTTGCGAGAAGCACTATGAAGACAAGCGAGCTAGGAAGAACGCATAGCGCAGAAAGGATGAGATAGCTGATTTTGAGCTACAGTTCGACGTTGGCAACGTAACTTGATGGTGTTTAATGCAAGCGGGGGCGCTTAGCAAATGTGAGATAGTGCAAGCAGGCATAGGTTGCTCAACGATTGAAAGAGTTTGTACAAAGCTAGCAAAGATAAGGGAAATTGTTGACTCGAATCATTCGATACTCATGTAATACCTTGTATGCAAACGATGAACTATCCATGGCCATCGCTAGGCGATCGAAATTCGACCCTGTGGAGCATGAAAACTTTTTCTTTAACACAAAGGATGCATACATTTGCAAGACGCTGAACTGAGAAATGGGTTCAGCATGTTGCTAGGCTTGGTGGGGCTCAACAGAGGGCTATATTGATGAAGAGTCACGATCTAACAAGTGTGTTCACAGTGGTAAAACAACACACAGTTTGTTCAGTAAGGCAAAGTAGTCAAAAGAGATGATCTCCGAAACTTCCAGAAAGAAGTATACAAAGAAAGAAGTTGCTCCAATGAGATAAGTATTCAGGGGTTAAGTCCCGATTCTCTAGTGAGAGATTCATGTGCATTGGATTGCATATATTGTGAAAGGTATCTCAAGATTGAAGCTTTATAAAGCTCAAACGAGCAAGTAGTCAGGAGTCATCATAAGATCTCACATGAGATGATGTATCGAGAGACACATTGCTTGATCAAAGTAGGGGAGAAACCAAAGGCAACACCGAACGAAGACACACTAAGAGTAGATGAGGAGAATATCGGGCTCAACAAAGGGTTAACCCATGATATGGTAGATGCGAGGGACACCATCATCTCAATGCAAACTAAGAAGCAAAGCAACTTGGGTGAACTTCGTGAAGTACTCAAGTCGTATGAAAAGAGTTGAATTAGAAGACAAAATATAGAGCGGAAGTACCAACTTCGTGGAGCTTTCCTTGGAAAGATCAAGGACATGAATTGTTGCAAAGACAAGAGCGGAACCATGCTGATCCCTGGGTTCCTCATTCTGATGGAGCAGACTTATCTTGTACGATGCCAAAATTAAAGAGAAAATTGAGGCACATGCACTTCATCTCGGCAAGGCAATTGACAAAGAGACTAAAGGAGGCCAACTCAATTTGCAATGGTGAAGTTGGAATGGTACGAGGCAAGAGACCGTAGAGGCAGATGCTCATGAAGAATATGCCGTAATGTACCATTCAAGTTGTCACAAAGGAAGCTGTGCGTAATAGAGATTACACTAGGGCATAAGCCTAGGATCCAAATAATGACACCAATTTTCAGTTAATTCGATAGACTTCAAGAGTTAGTAGGTGACAACTTGACCTAGAGCTATGCTTTGGCCGTGAGTGACCCAAGTGCGGATGGAGAAAGGTTAATTACCAATGGAGGGAACACAATCAAAGATGGTAAAGGCCCAGTGATATGTCGACAAAGGCCACACATGGAGATATCGTAGTTTGAGTTCACCACACAAAGATTAAAGTGCAATAAAGACATTATCAGGAGGTGATATGATGCAGCGGATTATGGTAGAACAGTTCAGTGAGCAACACGATAGTAAGAAGGGCCTTAAATTAAAAGAATGAATGTCATGGTCTCACAAAGGTGAGTTTTCCAGGAGTGCACCAAATTTTGTATCAGATGAAAGCCTTAGACATCAACATATGAGGGTTATGTATTGCAATGGTGGATCTTTTGAGTGCAAGTACAAAGAGTCCTATGGATGACTTGGTCATATGGAGGTATGATTGAAGTTGCTAGAGAGTGGACTGTTCTAGAGCTCATTCGCTTGAGGGAGCCTAGCAAGTCAAAGGAGAAGGCTGAGTGAGTGAACATTGTTACCAAGGATGCAAAGGAGAACGACACGAACCCTACAACATAGTAGCAGAGGCCATGCGTGGAAGTTATAGTCTATCTTTCTATCGACCAAGGTCAATTGCTCAAAGAACATAGAGGTGTTGAAGCAAGTGGTCGAAAGGGGTGCGGAAGTGATGACAAGTCCACAAGGATTTAGCTACCTAAAACCAAGCATCGGACAGAATGGATGTAGACTTGGAGGTGTGCTATAGAGGTAGATCTGTCAATGCAAGGAGTAGAAAAGGGACACAGATGTGAGGCGATAGATAGTACGGTTATAGGCATAAGGAAGCTCCACAGTACCACAAAAATAGGAATTTCGTAGAGCCATCGATCCCTTGCTTGCATAGAGGGAGAGCATATGGTCGTATGAGGGGCCAAGACAATAGAGAGTGTAGTGGCAAACTCTAAGTACCAAGACAAGGCAAAAGGGCAAAGGCCAAGGAACTTAGTAAAACAAGTGTCGACGAGCTATTCATCAAAGTAAACGAACGTTGAGAACTTTGGATCGATGCGAGAGTGCTCAACCAATGAACGAAGTAGGCAACACGTAGTGTTGTATCCTTTTCTGCTCAAAGTAGGTGACAAAAATGGAGGTGGTACAATCCCAGAGGGATGATCAAAACTAATAAAGAATTGCTTTAGTCGGGGTGAAATTTTGCTATTTATTTGGCATATTTTGAAAGTTCGATGACAATGAGAAGATAAATCATAATAGCTAACATAGCGCAAGGAGTGCAATACTTCAAGTGCTTCAAAAGTGTAAATAAAGAGCAGACGAAAACTAGTAACCAACTTAATGCATGAAGTACAACCCTCTAAGAAGCAAGCAAGGTCAAGCAATCTTATTCTTTTTAACTTTTGAGAGAATGGGCGAAGCCAAGTACCCTAGTTCTCTTAGTTATTTAGCAGATAAGCTCTACACATTTTTGAAGACCCTTCGAGGAGACATAGCAACAGATAATAGGTACCAAACCCTCCCCAATAGTGATCGATTCTAATAAAGGTAGATTGTCCACTTTATTCTTAATAGAGTAATAGTTGAAAGCGTAGGTGATGCGAATGTATTTAGAGGTAACGACTAAGCAAAAGAGAAATTGATGGTCAAATTTTATAGAGGTTTGGCCTTAAAACTTTATATTCTACAGGGCAATGCTCGTTAAAGCTCTAACTACATTCATCCAATTCAATCAACGTAAGATGTTCGAGGGACTAGCACACAATAAGGTCTTTTCCTTCATTTGAAAGATCTATAGATACTAGCAGATTAGCATGACTCAACCAACCCAACACCATAGTCGGAGTCATTAGCGAATTAAAGCAGTGTTGATAGATCAAAGTTCAACTACTCAACAACAATGACAAAGAACAATTGGGAGCCAAGAATAAGTGGGGCAAAATGTCATCAACAGTTCGTAAGGTATTCGATGTAATGTTTGTGCATGTTCATATTTTTTTTGTTTTGTTTATGTCCCTATTTTGGTTAGGTTTTGTCGTCGTTATAGGCTTGTAAACGTAGCATGTGTGTGGTTGTCGTGTAAAGGAAAAGCCGCCCAAAAATAAGACCTCTAGCCAGCCATTTTAGGTGTTTTCCATATGCAAAAAATAACCAAAAACATCAGTCATCCAAGCATCTTGGATCTACTAGGGTGGCATATAGCTAGATGGGCCTTGGGGTAGTGCCTTATGTTGGTTTATTGCTTACCTCTGTAGTGGTGTCATATAGGCACTCTTTTGTAGGGACTTTTGAATGTAGTAGATTGCCTTGGACCCTTAGTTATACGACTATTCAAAGCTTACAAAGTCTATCTTTGTATTTGGCATTTGCTTATTAAGTATTTGATGAAATATTTATTTGTGAGATCTTGAGTTTAATGCTTCTACTCATCTGTCTTCTCTTTTGTAGGTCCTTAGGGAACTCTACAAGGTTACGGGGAGGTTAAGCTTTTGTGGGCAAACATCGAACGGTGCTGCATGACTTACGCAAAATCAGCTAGGTGTGTGATAATGTGGTACTTCATTGCCCAGTTAACTACACATGAGAGAAGTTAGCCTAACTAAATGTGTACAACGGCAAAATGCCTTGGCCGTCTGCACTTGCATATCACTTGCTAGAATCAATAGATAAGTGCTTACAATTCAATGCAGTCACAAAGGTCCCAAGAAGTGGTAAGGTGGACATCATCATCCAAAAACTTCAAACAAGAGCGAAACAACTAGCTTAACCCTCAATACCCACCTCTTAGGTACTACTCGGAAGAAGTATCCCCATATGAATACAAAAGTAGTTTGACCAAACCAACGATTTCAATAGGCACTCGAGCGAGGCGACGCGCGGCCCGAGCGCCTCGCTTCATTTCTAGGCGGTGCGCTTCAAAGAGGCACCGCCTAAGAGGTCGCTCGAGCCTAGGCGCTGGGCACTTCGGGCGAGCGTCCGTATTAAACCAAGCGACCGAACCAACATTTTAGGTTTGGTTCGGTCTCCAGTGCTTTAGTTGGTTCAATCGAACCAACTAAAGCACCGATATCAGCCTCCCAACATCCCTCTCGTGACTTCCCCAACCCTAACCCTGCTCGTGATTCTACCGCCGAGATTTCTTCTCCGCTGTCGTTGCTCTTCGCTACTGCTGCCACTATCGCTGCTCGTCGTTGCTGTCGTTGCTCGCCGCTGCCACAATCGCTGCTCGTCGTTGTTGTCGTTGCTCGCCGCTGTCGCTACTGTTGTTGCTGCCGCTGCCGCTTCCGTTGCCATTGTCGTCGCTCCCGCTCTCGCTGCCACTGCCTCTGCTACCACTGTCATTGCTCTCAGTTAGCAGTCTCGATCTTCCTCTTACTCACACTCTTCACACTTCGATAGTATACTGTTAGCAATATATTAACAGTATACTGCTAACTGTATACTAGTAACAGTATTTTTATTTATTAGATTAATAATATATTATTTTAATTTTAATACTATTAATTTTTATTTATTTGAAATTATTGATAGGTTTCAAGATAAATAACAAGTGTACAGAGCAACTCAATAGATTCTCCAATGACATCAAAAAAAGATCCTGCATAGAAGTATAATTATCTAAAGGATCCGAAGTATAATTATATTTATTAATTATATTATATATTTTTATATTTTAGTGCCTCGCTTCGCTTGAGCAAGCGCGTAGCGCCTCGAGCATTTTTGGACCTTGGTGCCTTTAAATCACTGGAGCGCTTTTTAAATCACTGGACCAAACCACGTAAGAGCAAAGTATCATGGTCGTCCCCACTTGCTCACCACTTGTTGGATAAAGATAAGGCATAAACAGTTGCAAATAAAAGAGGGTCTTACAACTTGATGCAATGTTAAAAGGATTTCTAGGGCAAGAGAAATTGTCACCCAAAAACTTCACACAAGTGAAGCAGCCAGCTTAACTTTCAATGTCCACCTTCTAGGTGCTACTCAGTAGTGGTATCCATCCAAGTACCACCTAGGGGGTACCCAATTGCTGAGATGACTAACACTTTAATTTAATAATAACATTCATATCCTATATCAGTTTTCAGCTTGTAGCATGGGCTATTGTCACGGACGTAGCTGGTTTTGCCTAAGTTGTGCGGCACCCTTGTATGTCCGTTCGCAAAGGTCAGCCTCCCCGAAGCCTCCCATTGTCCCTTAGGACCCCCAAAAGAGAGAACGGGTTAAAGAACACGCCTCATTTGGGATCCACAAGCAAACATTTCCGGAAACACTTCATAAACAATGTAAATTACAAACAGACTTTACAAGCTCTGAACAGTTGCAGAACAAAGGGTCAAAATGGTCCATTACAGACCGAAAATCTCTCACAAGTGTCCATATGACACAACCTTTGTTTACAAGCCTAAAGCGACCACCAAACCCAACTAAAATGGGACTATTAAGCCTTCGGCTATCCCTCTACATGCTAGGCAAAGTATGAACATACCAAAAGACACGGACATACATAAGCATTACATCAAACATCCTGTTTAGAAGTTTGTCCGTGACACTATGGCAAACAAAATGAGCTAGAAAGCTGGAATGAAGCTAAGAAAAGGTTCCCTTCTTGAGATAGATAGTATATTTTCACTATATCATAATATGTTTTGACCCTATGATGATCTGCACAACAATCCTTGGTGAAAAACATCCTGAACAGTTTCCCTAGCAGCATGCATATTAAGTATCATATTCTTAAGTTTATTTTTTAGAACAACAGCAGTGAATTTTATTATTAAGATGGAAATGTACCATGTTGCTAGTATGAAAACAATTGTAAAACAAATAAGTTGGGGGCAGGAAAACCTTACAAAAATTAGTAAGTTCTGTAATTTGATTGGGAAAGACTTGTTCATTTTGGATATCAAATCAATGGTAGATTTTCAGATGACAACTTTGATCATTTTGCAATGATTACCTTAGATGTTGACTGCAGCTTAAAGGAAATGAGGCAGCGAACTAATTGCAGTTGTCCAATAGTCGCGAAACATGGAACCAGTGGTTCCCATGAGTCACTGGCATTCTTAATCTATACAAAAGAGAAAAAAAAGAATCAATCAATAATATATGCATTCTGGTAAACAAGATGAGATAGGATCAGAAGAACAAAAAGTTTATTAAGTGCAAGAGGAAAAAAGTGTGGCTGAATGCACAAGGCTTCTGCCAATGCAGGGCTAGAAGCATGACATGAACCTTGATTACCTAGATCCGAGTGGAGCAGCCTTACTATGACGTGAAGGCCTACGCTTTTATTAATTGTCAAAATAAGAATAAAAATGGATTATAATTCTTTTCAAACAAAGTTATATTATAGAGTACACTAAAACCATTCATTATTCAAAAGTTTGCAAGTTTGCACTAATGTGGAATGCCTACTGAATTCAACAGCAGAAAGAGAGAAAAAAAGAATAATATCCTTGATTATTTAATTTCAATGTTTGAATAAATTTCTTAGAATAGACTTATTGTGAACCATTTCTAAACATAAGAATCAATCACTAAGGGGAAGTTATAAGACAATTTCATGTTCTCTTACCATATTCTTATATGATGTCCAACCTAGCAATGGTAGAGATGTAGCTGGACCCAGATAATCATCCATCTTATGTAGTTCGTTCAAAACACTAGCATCCAACTGAATCAGGACACAAGATTAGAGAGTGAAAACCAATTGGAGATTGTCAGAATGCACCAGAAAGCAAACTTTCCACAAGAAAAATGTTCATTAAGATAAATTATATTGCTAGACAATCATCATAATGCTTTTCCTGAAACAATATGGTATCAGATATAAAATACAGCAAAATATTAATAAAGCCCCACAGAGTGATGATAGCTACAAATCTAACATCAAACACTCAAAAGATGGTGCCAAGTTTCTGAATGAGGCAAGTTTAGGCAAGAGAGTAACTTGCCAAAGAACCTAAAACAGAAAAGATAGTTGATAGGAGAAACATCTTACTCACTGCAGCATACAGTACAGTCATGCAACTAGGAAGCAATTTCTTCTGGTTCTCCTACATCTGAGAAAACCAGAAGAAGTATCGGACAAATATGACAAGCAGCAAGGTCCTTTTGTAGGTGCAAGTATGACAATAAGCCAAATAAACACAATCCCTGATAGTTCAAACAGTTGTAACTTGTAAGAATACATGTATGGTCTCAATTTCAGAAAGTATTAGATTTGCACTTTCAAACAGTTGCAACATAATTTCAAATGCCTCTACTGTGGTCCAGAATGGACAATCCCTACTGGAAAAAGGGAGCTCACAATTGATACCCAATCAGTTCCTCCCATATGCATTCAAATGCAATCTCACAATCTATTATTCATGTACGAAATCAATATAAATACAGCTTTAGGTCAATAGTTTCCTGAAAAAAATCAAAGAAAACATAATAACAAGCTTAAGCATTATTCTCGAGCTTACCAAACTTTTGAGACTCCTCAATGCATGCTCCAAACTGTCTTTAAGAAGGATACATAATAGAGAATCCAAGATGCACAAACCTTCCTGCCCAACACTGAAAAATATAATGTATTTAAGCACTTGACATAATGAACAAAATAAAATTTATAAGGTAAATACGACTTAGCAAATTAATAACTAACGACTATTGTAGTCATCGGTGATATGCAAACAAATTGTTGAGAAAGAAGAACTCAAAGCAGTACACTTTTGCATGCAACTTCTAATACAGAATTTCGATGGTAGGATTGCATGTTCTAGATGCTCATCTCAAATAAAAATGAAACAATGAAATTATCATCCAGGAGTAACAAAACAAATTTATAGAACAGGATTAGTAAATGACTGGTTACAGAATAAAAACCAATTCAATCAGGTCTACATAAATAACACTAAAAAGTTACAAAAGCCGAACTGGATTCTCGATGTTATAAAACTGAACTAACAGGTCCAGGGGCATCATATCTGTATTCAGTTATAGTAAGATAATAACAAAGAAGTTACAGTTATTGGAGGGCATCAAGTAAGATTAGTTTACAGAAGGGAGAATTTTTTTGCTAATAAGCAATAAATATTCTCTCATGTAGTTATAAAACTGAACTAGTAGGGTCCAAGGGCATCATATCTGGCTTCAGTTATATAAAGAGAGTAACAAAGAAGTTACAGTTGTTGGAGGGCATCAAGTAACATTAGTTGACTGAATGCTACAGAAGGGAGAAAATCTTTGCTAATAAGCAATAGATATTCGCTCATGTAGTCTTCAGCAAAGGTAGGTAGAAAAGCAGAAGGGCCCTTGCCTAGAGTGACGGGCAAATGTTGCAGTTCAACAAAGTGTCAAAATGAGCTTTCTCGCGATTGTTTGACATGTAACAAGGATAATCTTAAGATCTCACTTTCCTAGCCTGGCTCATGCAACCTAGGAACTTACATCAGTCATGGCATGTCAGAGCACAGATATCAAGATTGTCTGATTGATAAGGTCCTTCAAAGGTTGGAGGGGTGGAACAAAAGATCGATTTCCCAAGCTGGGAAAGCCACCCTCATCAACTCAGTTATTAATGTTATCCCCATACACACCCTCATGAATACTTGGATTTCTGAAAAGAACATTAACAGAGTAGCCAAAAAATATACTTGTGGAGCCACAACTCTTCCTAGAACAAAATGCATCTTCTCAGTTGGGACTGTGTTACCAATCTCAAGTTGGATGGTGGGCTTGGCTTGAAAATCCTCAATCTTGTTAAAAGTTAAAACAACTGCGGGTGCCAAGGAACTCTCATTTTAACAACTCAGGTTTGCTTGTGGGTCAAAGTGTATAATGATATGGGTCCCCTAACCCTTGGAATTGTCAAACTAAAAAGAGTTCCAGTGCCTGAAAAGGCTTGTGAAAGCTGCTGGACTTGGCTAAAGATGGCTTAGGAAGTTGGTTGGAAATGGTCTGTCTACCCGCATAAGAAAGCACACTTGGGTAGAAACATACCTGCTCCAATTCTATTAAGGAGCAGTCTGTCTGGCCTTCTTCCTCCTCTAGCTTCTTTCCATATTGAGGAAGACTTTTAAAGAAGGCAAATCTCACATATCAGTGAGATCCAATTCTTCACAGCTCATTCGGATCCTTACCAATGCAAATTGTGTTCCCTGGTATTTTAAAAATATCTGTCAACATCTATTGTATCACACCAAAGTTGTGATGACCACTGGATGGAATTATATCCAAGATCTTTGAACTTTGTGGCACATAATCTCGCCAATTTTGCAGAATGACAGGTATAATTAATGGTTTTGGAGAGGTTCTGCGCCTCATAATCTTTTGTATTAACATCAGTCAATGTAATTTTAATTTCTTCTTTTGAGAAAAAAAAAGATCACACTTACCTAAACCTGTCATGATGTAAATGACATTTATTGTCAAGGTCATTTTGTTTGCCGATGATGCACCCTAATTCAAATATATTTTGTGCTATTTTTAAATGTGAAATTTTGGTAAAATGCCTAAACCTTTAGAAAAAACTGACGTGCATGAGATTTAAGCCTTCCATGACATTGCACGATTTTATGAAAATACTTTAAGCTTTAATTATTTCACTAGAAAATGGATGATGTAGAATTTCTCCATCAATTAATGTTCAGATATGGAGCTAAATCAAAAAATTAATTTATTGTAAATAAAAAATGTGTGATTTGTGCTTCACCTTACCACATGATTTGAAGAATCTAAGTAGGCTGTAAACATTTATGTCATGTCAATTGTTTAATACGCATGAATACATATCCATTCCTCAACTTGTTGCTCTCACCTAATACCAAGCAAATGACAGTGAAAAGAAAGGATACAGTTGTGGCAGTAGCTTTGTACCTCACCACATCAAGTCTATAATAATGTCTTGTGCTTTTGCATTTTCTTAAAGCTGACTGCAAGAATTCAGCTTTTGAAATATCTAGAAAGACAATTCTGGAAAGAAGGAAATAGGAAGCACTTTAAATGCTGCCTCCAAAACTAATAATCTATTTACTTCCAGGTATATTATCTGATTGTTGCACTTTGAATCTTATGTACCAGAATAAAGCTGTTATTTCATTATTTTCCAACTTCAGAACCAAGTAGCACTATAGTTGCAAAGAAGACCATTTCATGTGTTTAACGTTAACAATAGCAGAAAAATAACAGGTGGAAAATATATGCAAGCTGCATTCAATAAATACTATATGCAGTCATTCAGACAGCAAGAAAGATGAAATATTTATAAAAGCATGAATTAAACAGCAAAACTTAAAAGGCTTGTACTATAAAAGAATTTGCATTCTGTGAGATATATCAGAGGCAATGAGCTCAATAAGTGAAGAAATGCTTCAGCAAACCATGAATCAAGTACATCAAAGAAGAGCAACCCCAGTAATTCATGTCCTTCAGCATCAAACCTGAAATTAAAATACTCGATGTTAGGACACCTGGCAGCAGATATTTCATGAATAACACTGGCTTCTAGACTACCACAAATAGTTGATTGTTGAATAGCATTATCAAACTAAGAAATTAAGCAGGGGTTAAATGCACTCACCAACCGCTCATAGGTTCTATAAACATTGATTGAGATGGATCTGTTAACTGCAGTACTTGGAGCAACAAATTTCCTGAAAATGAAGATTGCCAGTATACGTGCACTTAGACATTGTTCATGTGGTATTTACTGCTTATGGCAGAATTATAAAAGAATTAATAATGACATGAGAACAATTTCAATTCCCTGGTAGCAATAAGCAAGAGTAAAATAAATACTTCATAAAATAGTTTTTCCATTGAAACTACAGTAATTTTGACATATAACTAATGCCTATATTGATTGACCTTACCGTAAAAGGTGTCCGACTTAGAAAGATTAATCAACAGAGCAGAAAAAGGAACCGATTCCTGCTTTTGTTTCAGAAGTTCAGTATATACCTGTAAAGAACAAAATTTGACCACACAAGTTATTTAGTCAAAATTAAAAGGAAAAAAAGAATGGATAAAATGACAACCATATTTACATACTTTCTGAGCAGATTGTTTCAAAAAATTGGTTAAGATTTCTTCCAAGATACATCTCCCATGTATATGAAACAAGTCCTGCAATTTCTAGTCATCATGATTTATGAAATAACATAGGCACAGTATTCAAAGAATATAATAGTATAAAGGTACTTTGTGCAGTATCCAGCAACAAACAAGCAATTAAAGAATGCACATGGATAAATTGTGCCTGACCGAGCTAAAATTTCGTGGAACATCTATTCAATGCAAGCCAGGAAGGAAGAACTAATATATCATAATGAGACTCATTGGTTGCCGAGAATTCCACTTTCAGAGATTAAACTTTGAAGTAGTAGTCCACTTAACATGGTTGTTAGAAGCATAGTATGCAGTACCGAATGGTACCACCCGGTACGGGCGGTACGTACCGGTCCGACGGCATACCGCTACGCGGACCACCCGGTACCGCTATAGTGCTACAGTATTACACTGTAGCAGTGCTACAGTGCTACAATATGAAGAAAATATATAAAATTATTCGGTACACCAGGGTGTACCGCTCAGTATGCCTTGGTGTACCGCTCAGTACACCGGTACCATACCGTACCGAGCCAACCTCGAAACACCGGTACGATACGATATTGCATACCTTGGTTAGAAGTCCAGTTTGAAATCACTTTCACCATAAGTGAGCAGATAGATGTTTTGTATTAAAATATACTATCATAACTTGGGGTTCCACAATCAGCAGCACATATCACTCCACCTTGAAATTGGAAGTGAAACAAGATTGAGACTAGGATACATCACGGATATCCCTCGTTTTCATGCCCAAATCACACATCCACCTAATAATCATCTGCTCTGATGAAGCATCCACTCATCTCTCATCCTTCTTCCTCTGTCAAGTAATAACCAAGGATGATGGCAATGACTTCTTTCTCTCTCCCTCTATCTCTGTCTCCTTCACTCTCTTCCTGACAATTGTAGGCCAATTTATAGAAGATAGTTTTTCCTTAGGGCACTTCGACTGTATGGAGGCTACATGTTTCTTAACTCATACTCTATAAAATATCAAAGAGATAATTCTTAGATGATAACATAAGCTCTAGTTTACAAAAAGGATTAAAATCTGGTTGCACAGTGAAAGCAATTTTTTTGATCAGTTCAGCTAGCACAAGGACATCACTATAATATTGTGCCCAAGCTGTATGATGTCGACTACCAGCTAAACTCCTTGGTACCACCAGTATTTCCATCCTAATTACAATAAACATGAAACTGTGACATAAAACAAGACGAACTGATGACATTTCTATTTAAGCCAATTGGATCCATTTAATAACTTATCACTTTTTTTTTTAAGAAAGACAAGCTAATTTAAACCAGATCCAAATGAAGTTTTTTTTTCTAGGGTTATGGTCAATCAATTCCTCATAAAAAAAAACTGACCAAGCAAGTCCATTGCATTCAATCTTTCTGCCGTCCATGTGTTTTGGCCTCTCAAGATACCTCTTAAAGTGATTGAACCAAAGACCACATTGGCAAGAAACAACACCAAAAACTGTTCCTTTTTTCTGAGTTGATTGTCTTTTTCAAACTTTGCTTTATTAAACCAAAGATCTAAAATAGATTATTTAAGTGCCAATTAATTAAATTAATTTTCAGAATTTTAAGTAAGTTTTTAATAATTTCTGAAAGTGAGAAATCGATGAAAAGCATTTGAGGAGGGTATATTGACATAAGACAATCATTTCATGGAAATAACTTTGGAATGATGCCCAGAATTGGATATTATGCCAATATGGTAAGCATATGGTAAACTAGCAAAGACATGTAGCACATGATGGGCATTGAAGTCTAAAACTAAGATCTGAAGGCATTCATATTTACCTGAAAAGTCTCCACCATTTGCATTTGAGAATGGATATAAGTAGATAGTGTCCTTAGATTGGCTTCCAGAATTCCATGTGAAACTGCAAAAATTCAAAAACTTGATTTAGCCGTTATTGTTTTACATTCTTATTGACTGTAGAATTCGCATGGGAGGAAATTTTAGTAAGCACTACCTTGAAATTTTTACCAGGAATGCATTAGTTTGCTCTTGTAGAAACTTTAGAAAGCACTACCATGAAATTTTTACCCGAAACGCATTAGTTTGCTCTTTGTACAAATAACCAGGACATATTAACTCTGATGTTTATCAATATGTCACACTTGTTTTTATGTGCAATTAATACGTTTGATACTGTCTTCCAGTTAACTTGTATATGTGCAATGATATATAGTACATGTGGAGTATAAATATCTCAAAATGAAGAAAGTAAAATATCTAGTGCTACAGCAGGCTAATAAATGAATGAAGGATTAAGCATGATGTCAACTAATTAAGCTGACAAGTTGCACAGCAGAACAGGCTATGATATGGTGTAGCCCATGGAATAATGGGAAGGTTATTTGCCATCCAGCCAATCAAACAATCGTCTAACCTCCCTTCCCCTAAAGCAGCATCTATGGGGTAAACTTACAGTGTATAGCCTAGGAAAGTGCCTAAGTTGGCACTCGAACTGTACTTCAGAAAACAATGGTTGGCACGATGTACAATTTTTGGACTATCCATGGATTTGACAGAAACAGATCTCAATGGCAAAGCGATGGCATATAATGGATCACAAAGAGACATTTTTATATATGCCTTGTTTCATACATGAGCAAATGAGCTTGTTGACACGTGCAGCTTCAAACAAACATTTTACATTATGCACACGTCACAAGTAATACGTAAATTCCTAGCCAAATTCATTTCATTACGAAAAAATTTAAGGAAAAGAAAGAGGCAAAACTAATGTTGATTGAAGCCAGAATTCAGCAAAAGTCCCATTAACATCATGCTTGAAGTGTTGGGTGCCATGTATAGTTTAACTTTATTTTAGTATTGACAATAGTTAATTTTAATTGTCTGAAGCAATATTAGGAATTCTAATAGGATATCTTCCTCTTAATTTCTTAGTGTTCGAACGCCAATCCTCTAATTGCAACAACAGTTAGATATTTAATAAAGCAGTCATCAAATAGATCTACATTTTATTTTATAGAAAAGTATTTATGATTCAAGAAAAATAGAAACTATCTGCTCTATATTCTCCTTAGATAAACAGAGGGTGCACTATGAATTTTACAATATTATGAAAAAGATTCATATACTCGACCCCAAGCATTTTGACACACAACTATGTTTTCTGTTAAATAAAGTAACAGATAACAGAAGGTGTCTATTGCAGCTCTTTACCACTGGATGATAGGCAAAAGCAATTCAGTCTGTTCTCAATTCGCTTCCCAAGTTCCTTTATTGTCTGCTCCACCAACCAGTCTTTGATGTTCTGTAACATAGAAGAAAATTATTTTATAATATAAAAGAAGGTATCACGGATACAAAATAATGACAAAAAAGATCATAGATACAAAAGGAACCAAAATGCATAGATATGATTTCAAATACATAACAAGACAAATGGACTGAAGTTTGACATTGTCTAGACTCAAACAAATTGCACAACTTTAAATGCTTGCTATGAATTAGCCATCATAAGTGGAAGTTCCAACTTATGAATATTAATAACGGCCAAAAATAACAAAAGCCTTCATGTAGTCTGCTTCCAGTGTCCATATTCCTGGAAGAAGAGATGAAGTTCCTTATGCGGAAGCACAAGATCCACCCTGAATTTTCCTGCACTCAATTGCTGCTGTCCAACCAAAGTAGCACATGGACAGCAATTAATCAAGAAAGAAATGCACAATGAAATTATAACATGTGCAACCTTTCATAGAATAGCATTGGCACAACAATACCAGTTATGTCACTTCATTGCAGTTTACCAAATGTTCTCATTTAAGAACTTGTTTTAGCTATTGTATAAAATATCATTTTAGTCCAAAGTAGTCAACATTATCGTCTTCCTTAACGACGCTAAGATAATAACTAATTATACTGATATAAAGAATAAGAACTCATATGAGGATCTAAGCAAGATAAGCATGTACCAGATTGATCAGGCCAAAGAAATTCCTTGACAAGATTGTTATTCCCTGCAATAAAATCAGTACAAACCATAAATTTCTCCCTAATATTTGTGTGCATTAGAATAATAAACGATACTAAATAAAGAGTAGAAATTTAAACAAGATTAATAGAGGAAAAAATGGCTATGAACTTCCATGGCATGCATGTGCACATTGATGTACATTTTATCTTTAATCGTTCTGTCAAAGTTACCAAACCAATAAAAAACATCACTTATCTTGTAACTAACAAGGAATGGAAAGTATTGCTAATGTCAAAGATCCAAAACAACAAATACCCTACTAAATCAGAGAATTCTCAGAAATCCATTTTCATCAAAATCATTGGTATATTCTCAGTCGTCGAGTCATTTCAATTATTAAACTTTAAAAATTAATGATCAATTTCTCTTTTTTTTCTATCTTCTTTCTTCAACAAAATGACAGAAATATCCTTGCTGCTACTAGCCCCACCAATACCAGCACTCAGAAATAGAAAATTATTCATCCACCATCTTCCTCTCCAAACAACTAAACCATGGTCCATGTCTTTCTAAATCCTCCTAATACCAAATCAGATGCTTGGCAAGTACCATTCTATACAGATCAAAGACCTCTTTGAGTAGTTGTTTTCTGTCATTTCTTCACACCCATTTCTTTTCTTTGCCATTTCTCTCTTCTAATGTTGAAGGCTTGCAATCCATATTTTCACCTCCTCTAATCCTGCACCTCCTCTAATCCTGGACCTCCTCTAATCCGCAATGTTATACCCTTTCTATTTACAAGAGTAGGTGGCGAAAACCAAGGATTATAATACCGAATAATACCTCCTGGTAATTCCGAATGATACAGCCCGTACCGGGCAGTACCATTGATCTAGCCCCGTATCGGACGATACAGGGCTGTAATATCAACCGTTACCACCCGAAACAGGTCGGTAACGGTCGATTTTGACCATCGCCGCCCGCTACCATGCGGCATCAGCCTAGCTGTGACCTAGCTACGGCAAGTGAAGAAGAAGTGTCAAGGGAGAAGAGGGAGAATCAGGAGAACCTTGATGGCTTCCCTATCCGGCGCCGTCCTCCCTCAACGATCCCAATCCAGGAGATAACGAAAAGGCGACGGCTCGACTTCTTCTTTGTTGCGTTCTTCGACGAAGGCTGGAGATGTCTACGGCCTTCGACGTCTTTGCCGAACGTCGCAGACAAGGAGAAGACTGCATTCTCCTCGTCTAATGCAACAAGGAGAAGAAAACGAGATGACATCACTGAGGCAACATAAGCCTCCTTTATTTATTTTTTTTATTTGTTTATATTTTTATATATTGATTTTTATATTTTTTATATTATATATATATATATATATATATATATATATATATATATATATATACATACATACATACATACATACCGAGTGGTACACCATATCGTATCACTCGGTATGCCCATACTGTACCGTACCGAGCAAAGCTCGATACGTCGGTATGGTACAAAATTACGAACCTTAGTGAAAACGATGAAAGTGGTACAATCCCAAAGACTTGCTCTAAGCAAGATAAGATTTTGCTCTTTTCGAGTAATACTTCTTGCATTATGAAAGTTACATTCTAAAAGTTTGATGGCAACAAGAAAGTGAAACTCATTAGGTAACAGAATGCAAGGAGTGTAACACTTCAACTGCTTCAGAAGTGTGAGCAAAGGACAAGTGAAGGCGAGTAACCAGCTTGATGAATGAAGTACAACTCTCAAAAAGGTGGGCAAAGTCAAGTACCTTTAGCCTTCTTAACTATTGATATAATGAGTGAAATCGAATAACCCAGTTCTCTTAGTTATCTAGTAGAGGAGCTCTACACATTGTCAAAGATCCTTTAAAGAAACCTAGTGATAGACACTAGTTGTCAAATCCTCACCAACAATGATTGGCTCTACCGAAAGTAGATTATCCACTTCATTTCTCAAAAAAATGTCAACCTAAAGTTGAGAAAATAAGCACCTACTTTGAAGTGATGACTAAGTAAAAGAGAAATTAATGGGCAAATTTTGGGAAGGAAAGGTCTTAAAACTACAGAATCTATGAGGCTATGCTCGTTAATGCTCCAACAGGCATTCATCCAGTTCAAGCAACGTGAGATGTTTGAGGGACCAACGCATAACAACGAAGGTCTTTTCCTTCATTCAAGGGATTCACAAGGACCAACGAAGATCAACACAAATTGACCGACCCTACACTAGAGTAAAAGTCACTAGCAAGTAGAAGCAATGTAAGTAGATCATAGTTCGATACTCAACAACAATGATGGAGAACAGTTAGGAGCCGAAAGGTGTGTTGCACCTAAAGCAAAGGATTAAAAATTCAGCAAAGGTGTGTTTAATCTCGTGTCGTACTAATGTACCGAGCCTTGCTCGGTATGATACCGATGTACCGAGCAGTACACCAAGGCATACCGAGCGATTGCGAGTTGGTTCAACCACAACGACCGTCGGATGCAAGTTAGTTGACTTGATATGGTTAGTCAGGACCCGTGACAACCAAGCAACGGATCTCACCATGCACGGCCCGGTGCTCTCCATGCATTGATAACGAGCCATCACCTTAGAACACAGGGTTTCTATAAGACATGGGATCGGCCGCGTCCAACCCTTGGGCCTCATTGATCCTCTCCATCACCTTCCGTGGCAACACTCGTCGCTTGGTCGCCCTCCTCCGCTGCCGCCATGTCCCTCCCAGTGAGCTCCGCCGCCCTCCCATGCACTTGTCCGGCCTTGAGACACACAACCCCATCCCTCTCTCTCTCTCTCTCTCTCTCTCTCTCTCTCTTTCTCTCTCTCTCTCTCTCAATCCTGCTCCTCCAATCACCTTTTGCACCGACGCCCATCGCTTGGTCGCCCTCCTCCACCGCCTCTGCATCCCTATCGGCGAGCTCTGCCACCCTCCCATGCACCTATCCAGCCTCGAGACGCACAACCCTATCCCTCTCCGTCGCTTTCTCCTTTCCTCTCTCTCTCCTGCTCCTCTCTTAGGATCGAAATGTTGGGGTCTACATCCTGACTCCGAGATCCAAGAAGAAGACTCGTACCGGTAGTGATCCTTTGTGGACGAACATACAAGGGTGTCACACGACTTAGGCAAAACCAGTTAAGTCAATAACAGCTTGTCAACCCAGCACTTGCCATTATATATAAATCATGACAATGCTCACTTGACTATAGTAATTGGTAAGGCTAGTAAAGTTTCTTTTCTGTAATAAATGAAATACAATAATCTTATCATTATCAAGGTCATCTATCATATTATCAGTCAAAAAGTTTCACACACTATGAGATTAGATGATTATACAATTGGAAAACCAAACATGTCACAAGTCCATGGCAAAGGATATGTTCAGAAACATTGATGCCAAAGAAGATGCTTTGGAGTATTTAACCACTTTGCCAGCTACAGCAGATCATCAAATGTTATCCTGACTTGTAGCACAAAGAAATTCCTAATCTTTATCTGCCTTTTAACTGATAGCAGCAGCTGCATATTTACTGAATCATACACATGCAATTCCAATACATTTCTCAATAAAAAGGAACAACAATTACCTGTGATATAATAGATGCCCTATTGAATGCCCTTCCTGACTTAAGCTGCTTATCCAACTATAAAACCGGCAGCAAGACAAACAATACTTTAATTTAATAGGAAAAAGATTTAAGTAGAATTAGTCATGCAAGAAGTGGTAGAGAAAAGCCTGACATAATATATATCAAAAACAACAAAAGGAGATTGGCTGACTCATAATTCAACTAATTATATTTCCATCAATGAAGCTCAATAATGGGAAATGATTCATGTAATCAACCCCAAATATTGTTTATGTAAATAAGTAACCATACTACATTAATATATATTTCTCAATTTGATCAGAATTAGTTTCTCAATTTTATGAAAGATGGTCATTCAAGTAAAAAGATATTGCATCTGAGTCCTTTCTATATAATCTTCAGAAGCAATTGATTTGAAGATTCTTGTGATTATCTTAAGATAATAATATATTAAAGCATGCACCATCAGAAAACACAGAAGTCAAATGTTAAAGCATCTAATTATTGAGTCAACAGAGAAGAAGCATAAACTTAGCTTCTTTGAAAATCTTCTCATAATTGATGATGAGACAAGTGCAAAGAGAAAATTCAATATTTTATCTTTTGGAAGGGTTTGAGTTAATCAAGTTAATTTGTTCTAATAAATTTTAATTGGACATTTTCATATTTACCATTAAGAAATTGAGGTTTGGGTAGCTGTGAGTATGAGGAATGGACAAGTTGCCTAGTGATCTGTTTAAAAAACTATTTGTGGAACTTGAACTCCCTTGAAGATCTAAGTTAAAATTCAATAAGCAAAAAGATTTAAGAAAAACAATATAGCACAGTCTTACTTATATCTCTCCCTTATTTTTTAATAATAAAAAAATCAGAAAAAAAATTAGTTTCTGCAGACTTTTGACAAAACGGCAGATATTCTGCTCTCTATGCAGGGATACACTTTTAGCATCCATGTAATGGTTGATATTACTGAGGCAACAGTACTCATTGCATAGAGCCAATGACAAAGTTTATTGACTACCGTAACCAGGCAGCCTGGTCATGATGGTTACTTCTAGTGAAAAAAAATTGAGAACTAAGATGTTGCTGCAGCATGTCTCTTGGCTATATGAACAGAGAGCTCAACAAAGTTCTTTGTGCCTATCAATAATCCCACCAAAGACTGACCAGAAGGTAACTGTTCCTTGTTAAGTCCAATGATCATGGAAGATAAGACCAAATCATATTCTGCTTAGAACGTAAGGAACCCATCCTTTTGTAAAGTGCCAAAACGCAAGTCTCTTTCTTGATGTTAAGCCTAATGATTATGGCTTCACGTTAAGGAAGAAGACAACTTATATGAGCCAATTTAAGAGGGATGGGCGCTTATATTTTCAAGATACTTAGTGAGCATCCTTACAATTAATTTCTCAATAACAAGTTGATCATAAGACTGCTACTGAAATTCCACAATAGCTGACATTTTGGAGGAATATTTAACACAGTTTAGAAGGAACAGAAAAACAATTTACAAATTAATCCATACATACAAGTCCAGGAACAAGGTGTACCAAAGATCAGCAGCTGCTTGAAATTATTAATTACCTTCTAATAATTAAACATGTATAGGTATTCAGGCTTCAGATCATTCTACTTTTGCACTAGCCAAAAGTAGGAGGTTCAAAACCACAGCAAAAACTACAAAACATATTACCTAATGGAGAAAACCATGAGAATCAACAACACAAACTGCAAATCTTGTTGTGGTAGAACTAACAATTGACAACCATAACATACTATCCAATATGTTAATTAATAGGAAAAGTGATAAATATAATTTCGCTCATTAGCTCATAGAACCAATACCAGCATAAGATCTTCAAGCTTATCTTTGTCTATACGATTTACTGAATAAAATGACTGATTTTGTATTCCATCTTCCTTAAATATTTCAAGCAGTAAAACCTACAAACAAAACAAGTGTAAGATAAAAAAAGTATTGGTTGGTTAAACAAGAAACTCAAGACACTATCACAAAGAAGAACTAACAGGTAGAGTATCCAAAGCTGTACATATCTGAGCCGCAAACTGTGACGAATAAAAATTTGAGACACAGGGAAGATCTGGACTGAGATTTCAAAGATAACAGAAAATCATTAATAAGTACTTAGTAGCACCTAAAAATTGAAAACTTAGAAAAGGAAAAAAACATGGAAGAGAAATAAGACATGAAATAGAATGACTATCGGTTGGTTAGAACTTAAAAGTGCTATACAACATTTCTAAACGGACATATGTGTGACATTAAGTGCAAAAGATTACTAGGGGCCTAAAAATTAAGTACAAGCAAGCAAGGTTCGTAATTTTGTACCGTACCGGTGTATCGAGCTTTGCTCAGTATGGTACAGTGCAGGCATATTGCTTGGTACATGTATATATATATAATATAAAAATATAAAAAATCAATATATAAAAATATAAAATTAAAATTAAAAAAAGGAGGCATATGCTGCCTCGGGGGCGTTGCCTTCTTTTCTTCTCCTCGTGTCAGACAAAGAGAAGAATGCGGTCTTCTCCTCATCTGATGCGTTCAGCAAAGACGTCAAAAGTCGTAAACATTTTCGGCCTTCAGCAAAGAACGCGGCGAAAGCCACAGGCATCTGCGGTAGTTGGCAAAAAACGCGGCGAAGAAGAAGCCGAGCCGCCACGTCTCCATTACCTCCTAGATCAGGATCATCGAGAGAGGGCTGCATCGGATCGAGAAGCGTTGAGGTTCTCTCGATTCTCTCTCTTCTTCTCCCTCTTCTTCAAGCACCTTCTCTCTCTTCACCCTCGATGCTTCTTCTTCCCTTGTCGTAGCCAAGCTGCAGCCAAGCTGATACCACCCCATAGCAGGCAGCGACAATTGAAATCGACCGTTACCGACCTGTTTTGGGCGGTATCAGTCGAAATATCGATCGTTACCGCCCGTATCATCCAATAAAGGGCTAGATCAATGATATAGCTAAGTAGCTGGCGATCCGCGTATTGGTCTGCTAGCGGACCAGTACATACCACCCGGTACGGGCGGTATCATTCGGTATTGCAATCCTTGCAAGTAAAAGAGGAGCACAAAGACATAAAAGAACCACCATATCAACATTCCGAGTTAAAAGAGAGAATCGCTAGCCAGTTATTCTATAATAACATAAGCTTTGGAATTTTTTAATTTACATGGATCCCCTTCAATGATATTCTAATATACTGATGAGAAAGATGATTAGCGTGACTGTTTAAATCTCCAGCAAACAAGAGACATAATCTCTTTGTACATTATTTCTAGTATTTCTATCCAAGATCCTTTTCTCCTATAACTTCTCCTGGTTATGGCACCTTTAGTTACTGACTTGCTATTGCTAATTTATGCACCAAACAATCTCCATCAAAAGTGTCTAAAACAAGGTATGCAGTTTCGAATAATGCCACTCGTACCGGGTGGTACGTACCGGTCCGTCAACTGACCGATACACGGACCGCCCGTTAACGGACGGTATAGGTATATATATTTTCTTTTTTTTCTTTTTTTTTAAAGGCGACGTCGCTCGGAGAAGGAAAAA